AGGGGCCCCCCCCCCCCCCCCGATGTTCAACTCCAGCGTGGGCAATTGCAAATTTGGATAGAGCAGAACGTCCCCTCTGATAGTCAATTGTTAATGGGTGGGGCTGTGGCGGGTATAGGTGGAGAGTGAAAGGGGGCATCCCAGTCTGCACAGTATGAGAGAAATGAGGTTGCCTTCTCAAATGCAGAAAAGCATCTGCTCGGCTAACCAAGCTCTAATGTTGTTTGAGCCAATCGAGAAGCAAGCACCACGACAGACTGGATTCTAGATGTATAGCCTTCATGTCAAGCCCTGCAAAAACCTTGCTCAAGCCACCTAGCCAGAAATCCTGAAGCCCCCAACGTCCCTGCAGCCTGAAACGGTTTGGGCACATCCGCAATAAAACTAAAGCCTCAAGACGTGCAAATCTGCACATTCGCAAATTGCTGGTTTTGCAGAAAGACTGATTGCAGCAAAGCACATGTACTCAGCATCTAAGTTTTCCTGCCCCAGAAGTAACCACAAAGTAGCATACACATACGGGCACTATACCCATTGAAACCCAAGGAAGCTCAACAGCCCGGGCCTTTCACAGCGTGCACCAAGCGTGGCAAAGGCTGCAACAGCTCGCCCTGATTGATTTTGCCCATCTGTAGCACATGCACAGCTGTGACAATCATCAAAACCAAGGACACAACTTCCTTTTAAAAATACTCCTTGGACTTGATGGCTTAGAGCGCGCTTTGGGTTCAGGAGACAAAGCCTTCACACCCACTTCTGCCGAAAACTTGCTCGTGTTGGCTAGTGGCGGCTAGTGCATTCTAACACAAGTAAGGATCCTGGATGGTCATGGTCCCAGTGTTGCGTAAGGGTGGACATGGCAACTGCTACATTATCAGCTCAGGAGCTCTCGATGAATCATGAATGGACCTTATCTTATCCTATTTTGTCCCGTGCTCGGACGTGCCCGGACCGCAGCATGCAACCGTGAATTGAACCCCAGTCCCTGGTCTGGTTTTGGGTGCAGAATCAGGCAACAACAGCAGCAGCAGCCGCTGCAGAATCTTGAGGTGTTGAACTGCTGTGTCGAGGGCCCCTCTAATCCTAACTCCTGTTAATAGCACCTAGTATTGAAGGTGCTTTGGACTTTGTGTGTGTGAGCTGCTAGTGAGCCAGCAGGGGCAGCAACAAGCACAACCACAGATTCTTTTCTGGTATGCTGTGGCCTTTTTGGGTGAGCAGCAGGCAGCGGCAGCAGAAGCAGCTGTGGCACTAGCAGCACCAACAAGCTACAACTACGAGTATAGATGATTCAATTTGCCGCCTACTTTGCGGCCAGCCTCTCACAATGTCAACTGATGATTGCCAGCAGACTGTTACTTGGCATTTGGCACTCCCTGCTTCACGAAGCAATGTGGCAAGTCAAGGCCCCAGTCTACGTATGCACTCGGTGCAAACAAACCGTCTCGAACAGCTGCATCCGCACGTGCCTTGTGCGACTTGTGCTTTTTCGACATCACGTAAGCATACGCAATGTAAGCCAATTCAATCAATACCATGGATGCGAACTGGTGCTATAAGGCCATATTATAGAGATGTTCTTCTGTGGCCTGGGAGCCAACGACCCGGGGTAAGCAACGGTCGTGAGGTAGCCACGCTCAACCCTGGTTCGGACCACCTCGCAAGGCTTCCACCAGCCACGAAAATTCGCATGCAATCCTTTTCTTTCTACGAGTATGCCTTTTGACCCTGGCAACCCTAAACCCTAAACCGTGTCCCCCTCGCGGCAAACCCGGTTGTATAATACTGGGAATACCAGAAACACGAAACCACCGAGCGTGTCACCCTTGCCCCCCTCCCTCCGTCCTAATATTATCATAAGTCCCAGTGGGGGGTTTGTGGGCCCCTACGTTTTTTTTCCAAGAAATTCAGTGAGCTCCGTCTGGGCCAATTAAACCCTATTGAAACAGTCGGCCTCCGGGAGGGTTAATAAAATTGAAATGGTTGGCCACCGTGAGGGTGTAAGTAAATTGAAATGGTCGGCCTCTGCGAGGGTCTTAGTAAATGGTCGGCCTCAAAGATCATCAACGTTGGATTTAATCTCTAAGCTTCGATTAGTTGACAACACGTATAAGAGCCCGAAAACTCCTGTACCAGGGAAAGAATGCGGCGGTGCAGTCAGTTCAAGAACTAAACCAGACGAGAAACGAATGCATCAACCAATTCCCCGCACAATGGTTGTGTCACAGGCCTTATCCAATCCGCGCAACCAACCGTGGCTTTTCCACACGGACACATGGCCTGTCTAGGCCGAAGCACTTCATGGCAGCGCAGCTTTAAGAGCAGCAGCTGGCTGTGCTTACTCGACGGTGCAATCCAGGAGCTGACGGCCGAAGGTCGTCCAATCTGTGCGGGGGCCGTCAAAATGGTTCCCGTCTGACCGGAAGATTTGGATGGTTTCCCCGTCCACATGCGACACCGAGAAATGACCGGAGTCCACGTCTCCAATTCTGAAGTTGCCGATCTGCACGAAGCGATCCCCAAACGTTACACCCTGGGCTGCACCCGTGTCACGATCCCACAAGCCATAGTCCGTGCGAGGGCCAGGGTGCAAGGTGCCATCAGAACGGAAGATCTGAATGGTTTGGCCGCCCTTGTGCGAAATGGAGAAATGGGACTCATCCGCTTCACCAATTCGGAACTCGCCGAATTGAATGAAGCGATCTCCAAACTTGATCTTTTCATGTTGGAGTTGACGCAAGCTGGGCAATCTGGGCCGTCTTCTATTCCACTGCAGAAGGGAGGCACCTGGCTTTGTGACTTTCTTTGCCTCACGGTCCCAACCACCCCAGTCCTCGCGCGGCCCTGCGTGACGTGTCCCATCGGATTTGTAAATCATGGCTGTCTGACCGTTGCGGTGCGAGATGCTGAAGTGGCTGCTGTCCATGGCAGCAAGGCGCCAATCGCCCAACTGCATGAATCGATCTCCCGTTGTGATGCCGGGACCTCACAGCAAACATATCATAGCAGAGCGAGAGAGAGAGAGAGAGAGAGCTCTTCAGATCAATCTTCGTTACTCCTCAGTCGAGGGGCAGGTGCCAAG